ATGAATGAAAGAGTGGTAGTATTAATGCCTCAGAAGAGCTGTGGATCTTGCATTTGCTTTTTTATGTTTTACTTCAAAAATATTTGAAGACTGAACTCAGGGGGTTGAAATTAATCACACTTCATTTCAATTTTATTGGAAAAGAATCCAAAACCCAGCCCCAATCCAAATTCTAAGGAAAACTTGCTTAGCAAGTGCATGACAGGTGCATTGCTGTCTGTCTGAGCTGGAGTTTGAGCAGTGTGTCTGACAGGAGGATAAGTGRAAGGATAATTTCTAAAATGAGTGCAGCAAGGTTCATCAGAGTTCTTCTACTAGAGACCTCTAAATTATCCAAAGACTCCTTATGACTGTATAAGCCAAAATCAACACCTTAAACCTGAACCATGAATCAGTTGYTAGCTGGTTTAGGTCAGGAGGCACAGAGACAGTAGTCTGCAGTTGAGAAATTACCACTTGTGCACAAACTGCAGTTGTTTTATTTTGCAGCTGTGTGTGTGCTAAAGCCAACCTGAAAATAACAACAGTGTGAACTAAAGTAGTGACATCCATCTGGAATTAAAAGTTTGCAGCAAGCGACAAAAGGAATGTGCTGCACACTTGCTGTGTCTGAGAAATATATGTTATTTTAGTGACAAGAGAAGCAGTGATTTTTAAGTTAATTAGATTCAGCTTTTCTTTTAATACCATTTGGTGTACAGAGGAGGTTAACTAAAGGTGCAATTCTAAACCTCAGAAGAGAGGTACCCACAGAGAGCAGGTGACCTTATGGAAATTACAACTTGTAATTCATCATAGTTAATGTGGGTTTGGACTAGCTGACTGGAGAGGTCTCACTCATATACAGTTTGATAACAGGTTCCCATTGTCAGTAATAATTTATTCAAAAAGGGGAAGTTATAATATGCTTATTACCTCTCTTCCACATATAAAGCAGATAATTTTTTTAGTCAAATGTCTGACATGTAATTACAAGCATCTTGAAAATGCATTTTAAAAGTCCAGAGAGTCCCTAATTATTCGTAGTAGTCTTAATATATTAAACTAARATTTTTAAAATAACTTGTAGTACATCAATTTCTGTTCTAGAATTGAATCTCTTGTTCTGTGTTATCTTACTTTATATCCTTTAATGTGAACTTCAAAATTAAGCAGCTTTAGCAAGTGTCTACATTAGAGCACTTGGGGTTCTAAGGTAATTGAGGTGATGACAGCTGGTTAGACTTGTATTGAAACAAATTTCTGTGCTGTAATGCTGCTCTACTTGTGTTTGTACTATTACAAAGACATGGGTTTTAGTCTTAATTTATTATATCTGTGAGAATCTCATGTGGTCTTTTAATAACASGATTTCATGTTATTTTTCAATCCTACATGGAGTAAGTACATCAAAGGCACTGAAGGAGCATTTACTTAATGTTACAGTTGGGCCCTATTTCAGTAGAAGGCTCTGTGTGTTCTCTATTGTATTATGTCACACTTGGAAAACAAAGGGATTCCCTCCCCCTGCCCCYACCCACGGAAGTTTTTTGTTGTGCTCAAGTGATTTTCACAGCTGCAGGAGACAGGAAGGTGATGTTCTTCCCAGTTTAAAGATGAGGAACTGAGGCAAAGAGAAGGTGTAGACTGAAGCACGTAGAAGTGCCTGATAACTTTAGGAATTCAGTGTGAAACGTTTGGGCTCTGATGCTTGAAAACAAACAATTGATGTCAAATTTAGTGTAARTTCAAGTGGAGCAGTAGAGATCAGCAGGGTCTATGTGCTGATCTTACAAATACTTGAAGCTCTGTCTTTCCACAGCTGTTAATGATAATTTTGTCTTTTACTCAGTGTTGAGCTGTTGCAGGGCTAGGGATAACAAGCAGAAAAAAAAAAGGGATGAGAGAAGCCTCCAGTTTGAATAATGTGAGCTTATTCTATCCTAAAAGTAAAAAAACAAAATCTGATGATACTTGAAGAAATGTGTTACCTTTGACTTCGATTTCACCACTATCCTCGGATTACCACCACTATCCTCTGATTTCAGAAAGTATTTATGTCACATCTTGTATAACCTACCTGCATTTGTGAGCTAATACTTCTACTTTTTTAATTATCTGGTGCCTCATACATTGTGCACGTTATAGATGATGCAATAAATAAGGCAGGGACAGGTCAGACTGTTATCCTTCACGGCATAATCCTGATTGATCCATTCATCCATGATTTGAATGAAGCATAGATATATTTTAARGGGAAAATATGACACATAATGTTATCATACTCTAAGGTGTATGCACAGAGAGGCCAAGCTGAAGATCAGAGGCAACCTTCTCTGTCACTCTCTAAATTTAATGTTAGATTATTTTTAACCTTAATGCTCTTTTAACATTGAGGCTTCTTCTATGCATGTAATAGCTTTCACTTTCTAAAAAAGTAAACTGCAACTGAATTTGGGGATCTTGATTTTGTGTGTGACTCACTTAGTTCTGCTTGTAGAGATGAGCATTAAACCATTTAATAGCGCTGGCAAGGGTCTGTGTCTTATGCTGCCTCCATGTTCCCAGGGCAGAACTGCAGGGATTCTCTCTGCTTCCTCCTATGTCTGTATGAGTGGCCCTTAGCCTGGCATTCTGTTAATCTGCTTAACATTTATGAGTTTGTAGGTGGGTGGGAAAACAAAACTGATGAAGTGTTTGATTTCCAGATGTTTAGCAATAAGCTTTGGAATTATTTTTACTGCTCAGGGATTTCCTGAACCTGTTGCATTTTGTGCTTGCTAGCCTGCAGTGAATCTTCAGTTTTGTTCAGTCTCTTCAGGAGGTCATGTGAAATTCTTGCATGTACTAGTCCTATTGTAAGGAATTCWAAGCATCTGTTAACTGTTTCATATGGAAATGGAATTTTTCCACTATTTTATTACTTTAAACTAGATTGTAACAAGACTTGTCATGCAAGTCCCACTCCCTGAATTGGGGCTTAGCTCAYGTTCCTTCTTTCTCTTTTCCTACCCAAGATTTATTTATCTTCACAGTTGCCTAATTACCTTTGCAGCTTCTCATCTGTCATATCTCTCCCAGCCTCTTACATTCCCACTATTTTGCTCAGTGCTTGCATCACAGTTTGAATTTCTGTCTCTARTAATCCCTAAACTCTCTTGAATCTCTCTCAATGCTCCTTAATGATTATTTTGATACAACGAGTAACCTCAAGTCAGACTTGTGGTCCTTCTGCACTGGATTCYGGGAGCTTCTTTCGCTGTGCTGAGCAGGACACGAGCTTCATTCATTCTTCTGGTGTATGGATCTGATTCCTATGTAAATATCCACTGTACTGAAGGAAGCAGTGGCAACAGCTCTTGCTGATTTAGTTGAATATGTGTGGAAATCTCTTCCATTCTGTAATGAATGGGACTGAGACCTCCTTGGAAGGATGGAAAAGATTTGCAGTTCTCTTGGGAGAAGACTTGGGCACAGCCAAGGGGTTTGCTTTGGGAGAACTTGGCAGCCAAGTGGCAGCYTTGGGAATGGAGAGAGAGTGAGAGACTATGGGTTAAGAAAACGAAGTAGTGAGCCACACCTCAGGCAGGACCAAAGGCCTCTTAGGAAACAGGAGGGACCATGCAGARCTGCCTGCACTACCTCACCTGAAATATGGCAAATCTCTACTTCCAGGCATTAAGAATTCAATGTGAAGTGGGAGCTTTATTTAATAAAGCCTTACTTTGTGCTCTCCTGCATAACTTGTCATTTTTTTTTTTCTGTAGAATTAACTATCCTACATAATAGTCTGATGGAATCCTGAACTTTTTCTTTAGTCTAAAGAATTTCTGAAATTTCAGCATTTTTCTCCTTTCTTTTTGAGTAACTCCAGACACGTGCATATTCTAGCTGTCATTTTTGTGGGTGCTGAAATACTATGGATGGATTTTCATAGGTGGCAAAATGTATATGCCTGGCACAACGATATTCCAAATCTGGTATTTTTGCTCCACTAGCATGGAGCTGTAAAAAATTCCTGCAATAAGAAGCTTTCCAGRATTTTGTTACCCATGAGCTAAGCCATTTTGGCTGTTAGCGGAGAGAATTAGGAAAAAAATGTTCTGAGGCAGTAAGTTGGCTTGGAAAATTGCATTCAGAAACTCTGAAATTTCACAAGATTGTAAGAGTGGAAAGCAGCAATCTCTTACAGCAAAGATCCATAGTCTGCAGTGCCTGTGCCAAAAGCAGCATACAAGGCAATTTGAATAATACGCATTTTTGCATAATGTGACGTGGGTCTGAGCTTCAGCGTTGTGAGGAAAGCACATGTGAAATGTCTTTTTTCCCAGCTCCTGGCTTCCTCCTGGTTCAGCACTCACACATGGGCCAGACTCTGYCATTAGATGGTCACTGGTGTCTCTATGTGTTCCAGTTTGCCCTTGAGAAAGGAAGTGTCAGACAGCTTTGGTGATRGGTTTGCTCATTCCTCATTGCATAYTGCTCCTTTTTGTGTTCTAAATCTCCAACTAAGTTTTTAACTTAGCTGTGTTTTATAGCTTTGGCACTTCTGAAAGAGATGCTGAGACTGCTTTCATATGGGGTTTGTTGTTCACATAAAGAGCTGTATTAAAAATAATTAAAAATAATTAAAATAATTAAAATAATTAAAGATATAGCCCAGCATTTGTAATACAATGACTTTTACCAAGTAAAAGGGAAATAAAATTGGTTCAATTTAATGTGTCATCACTATGCTAAGGATTCTACTGGTATTAATGAAAAATTTGCTATCTCAGTAATTTAATCATTTTAGCAACCTAAGCCCATGAAGGGGTACGAAGTTCAGTATTGCTTGTCTTTAAAAGAGCCAGTTCTGGTTTGGAAGCTATTTAAAATGCTATTCTAACAACAGCAGTTAGAAACAGGAATGCTAAAAGTGTAACAATTTAGGTTTGCTAATTGATTGTATTGTGCAGGTAGATTGTGAATTCTTAATTATATGTTTTTCTAATAAACTGTCTWCTATTGGTTTTGTGTAGATCATCCTTTGCAGGCTGGAAGTGCCAAGTGCAGGATAATTCAGTGAATGATGTGGACTATTTCAGCTTCTTGTTTTCAACCCTTATAGGTAATCCATATGTCTGTAATAATTCAGAATTAACAAAATAAAATTTGTTTTGATAATCAATTACTGAATTTAGTTTAGAATAAATGGTTTAGTAAGTACTTCCTGAAAGTAATTCTAATCTTGTTATATGTTTTTGATATGAGATCCCCTTTATTCTTTTGATCTGATTTTTGACACTATTTTTACACTTTTCCCTTGGGGCTGAATATTTGCATACTTTTTCTTCATTCTAGCAACTTTCTTYGGAAAGTATGAGGAAAACCTAAATTCAGCATATGACATAAACAAGATTTTTTTTCCTAGCTTGAAGTTAATGTCTTTTAATGGCTCATAACAATATAAATGAGTGCCTCTGGGATTTCCTGTGAACGTGCTTACGCTATTAAACACATTCCATCAGAATAAAGTAATCAAACTACGTTAAAGTGAGCTGGCCAAGGTCAGCTCTGCTCTACTTCTGCTACTCTGTTCTCACTCAGCTATAAAAATAGTTGTGTTCTGTGATGATGCAACTTTGGGAAATTACTACAGTGGTTAAAATAGCGTAATATTGCTAAGGAACAACTTCCACTAAGTTGTGCTGAGGTTTAAAATAGCGTGTTTTCTTTATCACCTTAGTCATTAATAATGTTTTTRTTTTCAAAAATTACCTTTTTGTTTCTAAAACGGTAAAAAAAGTGCTGTACTGATAGCAGACAAAATGAAAGCAAAGCTCAAGTAACTTGTGGTATAGTCGTCCTGTTTTACTGAAATATCTAATATCTAATACAATCATATATTAGAAATAATAAGCCAAATTATTTTTTTTTTAACCCTGAGGTTATATTATTGGTTATTGAGTTATTAAGAACATACAAAGTATTTTGCATTATACCCATTTTTATTAATTTTTTTAAGATACCTATATTGAAAATAGCACAACACAGGCCTATTAAAGTTGTTTTCATACCACATTATTGGTTTTTGTAAGTAAGTTTCTTTTCTATCAAAAGTCAAAAATTTTACTTTRATATACTTAGTTTATAATACCAAGCAAGAGCTATTAAGAAAAAGTTATGTTGACATAATGTAAAAGACAGTGTTTGTCAGTGATGCTGTTGAAGTAGAACACTGTTTGACTTGTTTTGTGATACTGTTGTACTTCTTCTTCTTCCCCAGGGTTTTCAAGAGAGGAGCTGACTAGTCTCCAGGGCATTAGAGGAAAACCACACATTAGCCAGACACAGCTTTCACCTATCCGTCTTTACCTAACTGATCTGGACCAGTTTTTACACCACTGGGCTGTGACAGAGGTAATACATCAACACTAATTCTAAATGACAGCATRCAAACTCTGAGTGCTCTCCATCCCTTTTCCACAGATGCCTAAATCTTGTCACAATTTGAGTCAAAAAAAGAATGTGAAATATAAATGCTGTTGAACAGCCAACATTTTTCTATAACCATMAGATATATTTTGAAGGAAGCTGCTTTAAAAGTTGAATGTTTGGACATGTAGTATGCAAAGCAATACTCAAGGAAAAAATTGGTAGAAACCTTGGTGGAAATTCTTACGCACTAATAATGTTAGGACCAGCAATATGTTTTGGCTTTCAAAAACAAATTAATGGTAAAAATACTAATTATAAAGAGTTTTCTTGGAGAGGAAGTGCCACTTAATTAAAAACCACTTGCATTAAATAAATTTCAACTTTGAAGCAATATTAAATTGGGATTAATCATTATTTAGAATAATTCCTGATTAGTTAACCAGAATATGCTGGGATTAGAAACTTCATTGTGAACTGAGCACTTAAAATTGGAAGAGTGAAAACTTTCTTTTATGGTTGGTTTTAAAGGGATTTGAGCCACCAGATTTTATTCAAAAACAGGTGGCTTAGTTGTCTTTCTGTATCAACTCTTCATATTGTTTACTTCTCTAGAAACCACTTGAAGGTATGAAATCCTGTTTAAATGACATGCCAATTTGACAGTATTTATGAAATCCTAGTGCTAAATTTAGAAAGAAGAGTGAAACAGAATTAGTTGTATGATTTTTTTCGTTCAAGAAAGCAATATAATACATGCTTTCTGCATCATAGCATTTAAGTGATAATGTACTGAAACAATGGTATGAGACACACACTGAATGTGTGTTTTTATGAGTTACAGTATTTTAAGCAAGGCTGTTTGGCCTCATGATTGACACATTTTTAGGTGTCCTGCCTTCAGTCATTTGGGCTATGGAGCAGTTGAACTTTCTASTTTGTTTTGCTCTGTCTCTTCTGAACAGTAATGAAGTGTTTTCTTGCCAAAATACTTTTTTCCAGTATGGAAAGATCACAATACTCTCTTTCCATGTCCTGTTCTTCTGTGAATACTTCAGAGCGATTATTTGTTTCTCAAAGTTAGCATAATCCCATTCAGTGTCTAAAGGATTTGTGTAYACCTTACCTGTTTCTTAAAATGTCACCTATAGTGTCTTCTCCTTCCTCTTTTTGCTTCTATTCCATAAGTCTTTCAAAACTGACTGTGAAATAGGGCTATTTTCACATAGGTAACAGTGAAGTAGTTCGATTCCTTTTTTGTGCCTTTGGTTCCTGGTTGAGAGTTTGACACAATGTTCRGTGTTTTGGTGCCATGAAGGAGAGTCAGTATTTTCAGAAACTTGAGACTCACTTTTTGTATAAGTACCTTTTCTCGGGAAAGATATTAAGTGCTCTCGCAGTTTGTTAGAAAGGGATGGTGGTCACTAAGCAAAGAGCTGGATATCCTTGGTTAGTAATGAAAGATGATTGGGACATCCTATGGAACACTTCACTATTTCTGTATGTATGTGTCAGTCTGAAGTCTTTTCTGGAGACTGTGAAAGAGGGAATAGGAGCAAAATCCCATGCATAAAAAAATCCTTAGATGGTTCCCATCTATGGATGTACTCAAAACCAGACTGGACACARTGCAGAGTGACCTGCTCCAGGTGACTCCACTGGAGTGGAGTCAGTGAGCAGGAGCATTGGATTAGAGGAACTCAGAGTGTTTCTTCCAAATTTAGGGATTCTGTTATTCTTTGTAAAATCGTGAAAAAAAGCATGTCTTTTTGTTTTGCCATCAACAAATCTCTTCGTTATTTTTGCTTTTTAGAACATAATAAGATTCGCATCATGAGTAGGGGTTTGTTTTCTTTTGTTTGGTAGGTTTGGTACACTTACATTTGATTGAAAAGTCAGACTGCTCCTGTTAAATGCTTGCCAGGTACTGCAATCCTCTTTAGATTTGCTGATTTTTTTTTTCCCATGGAATTTGTAAACAAAACGTAGGGGAGCCTCTTTAGTAACTTTCTTTCATACTGGAAAAAAAAATTAAAATATTCTTTCTTCTTGCTTCTGATCTGGTAATAATGGTCTCTGTAGCATATCTGTTTATGTTACAATAAGAAATGATCATTGGTATYAAGGCAACCACTTCCTTTCAGGAGTTGCAGAATTCTATTCATTTTTCACTTGTCTGGTTTTGATTCAGATGTAGCCATAGATATGGTAAATGATACRTAAACAAAACCACGTTGAAGTTACCACTTCAGCTTTTAGACTGCTTTTTTCTCTGTTAAATATCTAATGCAGCATTGTGTTCTCAAAGTTTCCTGAGTTTTTATGTTTTCCTTGTTTGAGTACTACTTTCCAACCTTGAACATGTTGACCAATATTCTGTGTAATGCTCAATTTRTTAAGAAAATATTCTGGGGACTGTAGACCATAAAAACTTTAGAGTTTGGAGGCTAGAAATTTCTAAAACCAAGGAGGTGAAGAAAAAAAAGGTAAAGAAAAAGCCAGATTTGGGGAAAACCTCTCAGTTCAAGATTTGTCACAAGCTGCACAGGAATAGTTTCTGTGGATCAAGCAGTTTTCACAAGCTAATCTGCACACAAATGAAATAAAAACCTAAACAACAACAACAACAAAACCCCAAAAAACTCCGTCATAAAAAGCAAATGCCAGAGCTGCAGGCTCTGGGGAGAAGGAAACTGCCAGCGAATCTTAAGGGTCTTCTAGGGTATCTTGAAAGATAGTGTGATATGATGGTTCTGTGTGCATTGAATTTGAGGAAGGTAGGTTTAGAGAATGCTTTCATCCAAGTGGACATAGTTTGAGGTGTAATAGAATTTTGGAGTCAAAATGTTTTTAGCTGTGGCAGAAAATTGCTTTATTTAGATAGAGATGTGCTACAGGAAATAATAAACCCTAGCTTGAATTAGTCATGCTTTTGGTGGGGCTGGGTAGAGTGCACAGCTTCTGAATGCTAGTATTTCATCTGTCCCCTTGCTGGATAAGAAGTTTRTAGTAATGCTGTAATGTTAAGCAAAATGTTTGTAGTAATTTAAAATACCTGCTAAATGAGAACAGTGCTCATTGGCTGCAGACCAGGCAGCTTCCAGGCCTCTGCTCTGTGTTGAGAATTATTTAAGTGTTCTCATTRTGTAGTTGTAATTCAGGATTTCCTCTCAATGGAAAAGTATTTTAATGTAGATGAAAATAAATAAGGAACTCTGATGGAATTAGGATTTGATRGCCTGGTTTCCTCTCAATAAATGAGACTAGTGATCAGATTCATGTTAGTCTTTCCATCGTCTTCTTTCATCTCTTCCACCTCTAGTTTTGCATAAACCATTGTTAATTTTTAGCTCTCTGCTGAAAAGAATAAAGTGGCAAATACTCATTCCCCATAAGTTTTATGAAAATAAGCAGATGGAAGAGAAAAACCCTCTAGATTAGCACAGGGTAATTCATAACTGTTCAGCATCCAGCCTGCAGGAGCATCAAGGCTGTAGCTCAGCCCGTGGGGTGTCAGGGATTGTGAGGCAGGAGCAGCCAGGGTTGTGGGACTGAAGGGTCCCAGTGTGAATTCAATCTGCAGGAGGCCACAGCTTCCTGGCCTTACTGCTCACTGCTCAGCTTTATTTCCAAGTGCAGGGGAAGGCAGTCCCAGCTCCCTGTTTCTAGCTGTGCAAGGGGTGATGTGTGTTTCTAAGGGTAAAGAGCTGTTACAGGGAATTTAATGTATAACATACACATGCCAGAGATGTGGGAGAAAAAATGGCGTGCCTCTGGAAAAAAGGGCAGGTTCTGGAAAGGAAAAAAAAAAAAAAAAAACTTGAGACATTTTTAAACATCAGTTTGGACTTCTGGAGTGTTATTATAGCCAGGGCATCTGGTAGCCTGTGGTAACGCTAACATAGGAACTGATGCTTTTAAGTGGTTTATAMCAAAATCTGTTTTGAGATGGATACTGTTTGTATTTTTTTTTTTGTCTGGGGAGTGGTAATTGGAATCACAGAAATCTGAAACCATGTCATTTTTTTTTTCTGGAAGCTTTTAAACAATGGTGGTTTTCAGTTAAGGACAATGGTTTAGAAAAGCATCTTTTAAGTACTGTTTTGCATAGCTGTAAAGGTTAGTCTTCGTGATTTGTCTAAAAGATACATTAAATGTGGGAACTTTGATTCCTTTTCTGGAGGAACTTCTGCTTAAATTAGTTCTGTCTTGTTAAAGCCAATTATTTAAAATCACCCCCCTGTAGCTGAAATAAATGGGACTCCAGAATAAATGGTTGCAGCCCAAGGGAAGAGGCTTCAGCCTTGGCTCATTTTAACTGTGCCCATAGTGTTTGTCAGTGATATTGTTCACTCCMCTGTAATTGAATTGCTCTGCCAGGATCAAATGAAAAAGTGCCCACAGAAATGAAGAGTTTAACAAGGTAACCGTGTATACATGGTAATTTCTGTTGTAATATTTGATGTTTGTGATGGTTGAACATTTCAGAGGGGGAAAGCAAATGATAATTTGATGGTTTGCTTGAAGTYGAGATTCCAGAGCTGTATCAAGCACAGAGCTGACTCAAAGAAATAAAATATTCAACCAAATGTTTAAGAACAAACACTGGGGAAGGTCAGCTGCTTTTAAAAGCAAATTTGAATTAAAAATGTTGGGATGCCTGTAGTGTAATACACTAATCTGTGTCAAAAACTGTTAAGTCTTATACATGAAATACAGTTAGGAAAGCTGGATSTGCACAATATGCTATGAAAAATCACAGCAAATCAATAAGGGTAGAAAGTCAATGCATGTAAATTAAAAGCTCTGTGAGGATGTTTGTCTTGAGAAGGAACTGGTGGTGTTGTAGTGCTGTAGTTTAACTTGAAGCAGAGATTAATACTTAAAGCACAAAAAATTTTTACAATGTAGATTTTTAATTAAAGTTCCTGAAAGATTTCAACTTGTTCTTTATTGAGGTTTACAGGTTAAAGAGTTATACTGGG